ACAAATAAAAAAAAAACAAACAGATAGTGTGTTATTTATATATATATATATATATATATATATATATATATATATATTTATAAAATTCTACATTAATACTACTTTAGTTCTTTTTTAATACACAAATTGAAATGTAATAAATATTTCTGTGTTTTATAACATGGTTTTGAAGTCCCATATTATATACCCTTTTTATTTTTACTCCATTATAGATACATATTAGTTGTAAATCTGTGAACTAATTAAAATTTAGGTAGAAAGTAATGTTATAATGACAAAAATAATGTAATTAATATTTTTTAAATTTTGAAAATGACAAATAAATAAAAATAAAATTCTTCTAAAAATTCAACAATTAAAAAAGAATGAAGTAATAGGACCGGTAGCAACATACACAAAGTATGATTTGAATCATTGACCTTACTTAAGCGTGGATTAACCCCTACCGCTAAATCCCTGACTAATATCCATGTAATATACCACTAATCTAAGCAACTTAATTCGTTATTCATTACAATTAAGTCTATTGAATTTGATTAAAACCAACAATTATTTCAAGAACCACTAGTTTGGTCCAATTGTAAGGATTGCTAATGAAAAAAAATATACAGATGATTCTAAATTGGATAGTCGTTATTATAATTCTTACTGATAAAAAAAATTAATTTAAGTTTCAATCAATAACTAATGTTACATCAAGTCTAGTTTACACACGTGTATATAATAAATAAATACAATCACATTTCAGTGAACTCTTGAATTTAAAAGGAATTAAATTTTAATTATGGACTGAATTTTTTTAACGGAAATACCATAGAGTTAAACTTTTTAAAGTTATAGTTATGACAGTCAAACTTTTTAATGGTAAAGCATCAAAATCAAGTACATCAATTATTTAAATTTTGTAAACAATTAAAAAAATACGTTTTTCGTGTATTGTGTTTCGTAGAAATGTATTTCCTAAAATCTGGAGTGGAAGTGAAATTGGCGGAAAACAAAGTAATATTTCTCTTAGCATGGACAAAAAAGAACAACTTTTCATGTATTTTTTTTGTTCGTCCCTGGAGTATTCACCGCCGACAGCAGTGACTAATCTCCTTGCTACGTTGGAGGCACCTCAAAGGATGGGATAGCTGGCCCCAAGATTTAACGCGACTGCATACACAAGGCAGGATTCATAAAACTAATTGCATCATACAATGATGAGGTTGCAAAAGTTATGTTGAAAAATGCTCCATATAATTCCAAATATACTTCCTATAAAATTCAAATAGAGATATAGATGTTCTTTGTCAAGCTTTACAACAACAATCTCAGGATGTAGTTAATGCTATGCATTTAGTTCGTTCTACAAAAACACTTATCCAAAACTTGAGAGAAGAAGGTTGGGATAAGTTATTAAAAAATGTGACATCTTTTTGTGAAAAACATGATATTGAGGTTCCTCAATTTAGTGCTTCTTATGTAGCAAGGCAAGGGCGCTCTCGTCACCAAAAAGATCATATTACAGTGGAGCATTATTTGAGAGTTGAAATATTCTTTGTTACAATTGATAAGCAATTACAGGAGTTGAATTGTAGATTTAATGACCAGGCAATGGAGTTATTAACTCTAAGCATGACATTGGTTCCTAAGGATGCTTATAAAGCTTTCAATATTGAAGACATTTGCACTCTTGTAGACAAATATTATCCCATGGATTTCAGTGAGCAGGAGAAAATTAATTTGCATTTCCAACTTCAACATTTCATTGTTGATGCTCGTCAAGATTCAAATTTGAAGAATTTATCAACAATGCAAGAGTTGTGTACATGTTTGGCAACAACAAAAAAGTCAGAAGTTTACTACTTGATTGATAGATTACTTCGTCTTATCATGACTCTTCCAGTTTCTACAGCTACAACTGAAAGATCTTTTTCTGCAATGAAAATAATCAAGACTAGGTTGAGAAATAAGATGGAAGCTGACTTTTTAGCAGATAGTATGATCGTTTATATTGAAAGGGATATTGCAACAAGTTTTAGTTCTGACTCAATTATTGAACATTTTAAGTCATTGAAAGAGCGAAGAGCAGCACTTTAACTAAAGGTAACTTCTGCTTATGTTTATATTATTTTAAACTTTATGTTAGGCTTGCATTTAAAATTTTATATGTATATAATAATGTCAATATTTAATTTATGCAACTGCTCTTGAATTTTGGCCCACCTAAAAGTAATTATTGGCTTTTGGATGATTCTTTTTGCTTGACTTGCATTGCACAATTTTGGGTACGCCGTGTGCAAGTGATACTATACAATACAAGTAGTTTGGGCTATGTTAAATATATTATTTTGGATCTCATAAGAGACAAGTGTACAACTTATCTTGGAATTTACTTCAACTACTTTGGTTTGCTTTATTCCAGGTAACCTTTGGCATTTAATGATAGTCTTTTATGATTTAGATTTCATTATTCTACATGTTTATTTTGAGTAGAAAAAATGAGGAATTCTGTTATTTTTTTAATTAGTAAAAAATTTAATTTATACATAAAAAAATTAATTTGGCACCTCCAAATTTTTTATCCAAATTCCGCCATTGCTTTGATGTATTTCTTTTGTACACTATATTGACAATAAACTGAATTTTGATGAATACAGAATTCCTTTTTTGTTCAAGAGTTTGAATGAAATTTCATTATTTATTAGAAAATGTACTTGTGCATTGCATGTGTATTTATATTCAGTTCTTATGTAAATTCAGTAGCCCATACACTTGCCAATTGGGGGGTACGGAACACGAGTTCCATTGTATTCTGGAGGAGTCCTCCTGATTTCATCCTGTTACCGTTAGGAAAAGACTCTGTGTCTTGATTTGTCTGCTGTTTTACGTTTCATTCTTTACCAAAAAAAATATTCAGTTCTTATGCTATTAATCACATTTACAAATTTCCAATCTTGCAAACTTAAGCCTTGAGGTGTCTAGGCTTGCAGTTTGCTAGGGAAACTAATCATGCGTGTATGATGAAGTGTGGGTGGGATGACGACTTATTACAAACTTACGAGATGATGACAAGATTGATGGTCGTCCTTGGTCCTACATATTTGCAGTATCTTTGGATGTGTTTTGGTATAGCAGAAATGCATGTGTTTTGGGATATGGCAGCACAAGCTAAGAATTCAAAAGTTTATATTTTGGCTCATGTGGATGTCATTTCTACTAGTTGGAACTACTTTCCTAGTATGCTAATGTTGCGGGGGAGGTGGCATGGTAACTGTTGGAGATCCTATTCATCAACATTCTCACATTCGTTGGCTAATTCCTCCATCCGGGATTTTAAACTAAATTGTGATGCTCCAGTAAATTTGATTGATCGCAAAATTGCAGTTCAGTTTTCATTTACAGCCAATATGTAAAGGGTTTAGAAAGTTCATTGTGGGATGCAGTATCCTTGCTTATCAAAAGTGCTCTTCTTCCCATCCTTGTTCCAAGTGGCTGGGGCGATTTAATTTGGTCTCAAACACATCGGAAGGTTAACCAAGTGACGGATAAACTAGTTAGTTATGATTTATCTGTTATTATTAATTTGAGAGTTTTTGATATTGATTTATGTGTTAATTTGGAAGTATCGATCCTTCCGAATGAACGTTAAAACAATTTAAATAATAAAAAAATACTTTACCATAAATTAAAAAAAAAAAAAAAAGGTACTAAATAACACTAATATAAAAATTAAAACTAAGACAGTAAGATCATAAGAATAAAGTTGTATTTAGGCGGAAGAGAGGGTTTGAGGGGCGGAAGCAAAGATGAAGGAAGCGGAGGAGCAACTATGCGAGGCGGCAAGGAAGGGTGACACTGACAGAGTGAAGGCTCTTATAAACTCCGGCGCCGACGTCACATATTTCGACGGCGAGGGCCTCAATCCTCTGATGCACGCCGCAAAGCTCGGCCATGCACCCGTCCTCTCCCTCCTCCTCTCCGCCGGCGCCCCCTGGAACGCTCTTTCTCCCTCCAACCTCTCCGCCGGCGACTACGCCATGCAAGAAGCCCACAGCGAAGCCTTCGAGCTTCTCCTCAACGCCGGTACGGTACACATTCCCTCTCCTCCTTCACCCCTCACATTATTATGATCTAATTTCATTTCAATTTGTTAGGGATTCAGGCCGAACTTATCCTGGGAACAATCGCCAGGAAGGATCATAAGAACGGCGATTCCGGTGACGATTATTTGGAAGACAGGGTGAGTTTCAGCGAAGACAAGCTTATGGACGCTGATAGCAAAGCTGTGATGATGGCGTGGGAGAAGCCGTTGATGGAGGCACATGCCAAAGCTGTTTGTTCCGGTGGTGCTCACGTGCTCAATATTGGGTTCGGAATGGGTCTCGTGGATTCGGCCATTCAGCAATATTCACCTGCCTCACACACCATCGTTGAGGCTCATCCGGAGGTCTATCAACGCATGCTTCGCTCCGGTTGGGGTCAGAAGGAAAATGTCAAGATTGTTTTTGGCCGCTGGCAAGATGTTTTGTCTCAGCTTCAAACATATGATGGTAATTGCTCATCCTTATGTTCACAAACTTCAATACCTAATTGCAGCATTACAATTGATTGGATTTTATTTTGTGAATATCATTGGAAAGTTATTTTGTTTTATTTATTTAATTATTTATTAGTATCTTAGAGTATGTGTTTGGTCCAAACTGATATCTACAAAATTAACCATTTTTAATATATCTAGAATAACTTTGATACCATCTTAAAATATGGGTTTTGCCTAATCATTCATATAAAACCAGTTTGTAAGAAGAGAGTTGTGCCACTTTTGTATTCTATGCAATCTTATCTTTAGTCTTTTCCTAATATAGTATATGTGTATGTGTGTTAAATACGTATAGTGGGACATTTCACTCAATGAGTTAGCTTTTGGAGTTGTGTTAGACTTAGACCCAATATCCTAGAAGTTGTTGTTTGGTAACTTGGGTCTATCAGCTCATCCGTTATCAGTATGCAAATATCGAGTCTTACAAATTTCAACCAGTAATATGATCAAAATAGTATATA